GGTCAGGTTCAAAAAACAACCACCACCCACTGGGATACACATTTTAGCAAACTCTTCGAAAGTCAAAGAATTTGTATATTCACGTGTAAAGAGTTGGAACTACCAGTTATCAGAAATAAATGCCAGTAATGACTCAGGGGCCAGGAGAAGGAATTTTAGCTTGAGACCTCAAAGAAGCTGGAAACCTACCCTATAGTTACCATAAATAACATTGTTTCCATTCACAGTCAGGAATCATTTAAGACATTAACTGCAAATTGTACTGTTCTAGGCAATGTTAAAAAAAAAAAGTGAACTAGGTATGAGTTTAAGGTTTAACAACCAGGCAGAACAGTCTTAGTTTAAAAACCAGGTCTATTTCTAATAGAAAACAGATTGAGGACTTCCTTGATGGCACAGTGGTTGAGAATCTGCCTGCCATTTCAGGGGACATGGGTTTGATCCCTGGTCCGGGAGGATCCCACATGCTGTGGGGCAACTAAGCCCGTGCGTCACAACTACTAAGCCTGTGCTCTAGAGCCCGCGAGCCACAACTATGGAGCCCACATGCCACAACTACTGAAGCCTGCATGCTCTAGGGCCTGTGCTCCGCAACAAGAGAAGCCACTGCAATGATAAGCCCGTGCACCGCAAGGAAGAGCAGCCCCCGCTCACCACAACTAGAGAAAGCCTGCGCACAGCAACCAAGACCCAACACAGCCAAAAGAAAAAAAAAAAAACAGATTGAAAAAATAAATAAATATGGAGCTGGAAAATACACAGTAGTTGACTGAAAATAAAAATTTAACATTAACTTTCATTCTCACATCTTTAATTTTTATGTATCTGAGTTGTTTTTTTTTTGCGGTACGCGGGCCTCTCGCTGTCGTGGCCTCTCCCATTGCAGAGCACAGGCTCCGGACGCACAGGCTCAGCGGCCATGGCTCACGGGCCCAGCCGCTCCGCGGCATGTGGGATCCTCCCGGACCGGGGCATAAACCCGTGTCCCCCGCATCGGCAGGCAGACTCTCAACCACTGCGCCACCAGGGAATCCCCTGTATCTGAGTTTTTTTATTTGATAGTTTACTTTGCCAGAATGAGAAAGAACATTACATTATTATGACTGAGTCCCATGGAAATGTAAAATAAATGGACCCAAATGCCATACCATTAAGGACTTTTTGATCACTCTTTGTAATCATCATGAGTAAGTTTTATGCTTTTTCAAAAGCAATTTTTTTTCCAATTGTCATTTCCTGCTTGCCTGGCTCTGATGTTTCGTAAATTAGGCTGTAAAGCTCATTTAGCTTTGGTTCTTGTTTAGCTGAAATGTTGAGAGGCAGGGGAGCAGAAGGTAGGTTACTTACAAATCTTGTTTCTCTCTGAAAACACAACTTGCATTTTTTAAAATCTTATTTGACTCCAAGTATGAAAAACAACTTTGATGAAGCACAAAGCAAAGGTAAAACTTTTCAGTTTACTTTTTGAATAATACCCACCACTATCACCATGTTAAAAACCACTAAATTATCAAAGAACCAATTTAGTTTATTACTTAATACCTTCAACAAATGTTTACTGAGTGGCTACTATGTCCCAGATACTGTTCTAACTACTGAAGATAAGAAGTAAATAAAACAAAAACCTCTGCCCATGGGAGTTTATATTCTGTGGGGGTTGAGAAAAAGGATAAATAAATTATACAGAATGTCAGATAGTTTTAAGTTATGTAAAAAATAAGCATTATGGAAACATAGGGGGATAAGGGATGTGTTGAGGGTTGGAGTGTTACAATTTTAAATTGGGATTGTCTGCCTCTTTGAAAGATGGTATTTCAATCAAGATTTGTGAGCCATGCAATTACCAGGGGAAGAATGTTGCAGGCAGAGGGTGTAGCAAGCATAAAAGCTCAGAGGCAGGAGAATATGTCGCATGTCTGAAGAGCAGCGAAGAGGCCAGAATGACCAGAATTAAGAGAACAGAGGGAAGAGGGTAGTCAGTAATCCTCCTAAATTGCCTTTCTGGCTTTTTACCAAGAAATTCTGAGGTATGGTTTTTAATTTATTTTATAGATTTAAGAGATACCATTGAGGTCAGCTAGTGACTACCTGGGGTTCATAACCTTTGTTGTACCATGGACCCCCTTTGGCAGTTGGTAAAGCTCATGAACCCCTTTCTTAGAGCAATGCTTTTAAATATATAAAATACAAAATATAAAATTACATAAGAAACTAATTATATAAGAATACAGTTCTATCTATAGGCCTCCAAGGGTCATGGAGGGTCAGCAAGTTAAGAGCTCCTGAATCCACACAAGATAACTTTCTGGGGTGATGGAAACGTTCTATATCATTCATTCATTCATTCATTTATGGCTGTGTTGGGTCTTCGTTGCTGTGCGCAGGCTTTCTCTAGTTGCAGCGAGTGGGGGTTATTCTTTGTTGCGGTGCGTGGGCTTCTCATTGTGGTGGCTTCTCTTGTTGCGGGGCACAGGCTCTAGGCGCATGGACTCAGTAGTTGTGGCACGTGGGCTCAGCAGTTGTGGCTTGCGGGCTCTAGAGCTCAGGCTCAGTAGTTGTAGCGCATGGGCTTAGTTGTCTGCGGCTTGTGGGATCTTCCTCGGCCAGGGCTCGAACCTGTGTCCCTTGCCTTGGTAGGCAGATTCTTAACCACTGTGCCACCAGGGAAGCCCGGAAATGTTCTATATCTTGACTGGGTTACTCAGATATATATACACTTGCCCAAACTCATAGACTTGTACACTTAAGCTCTCTGCATTTCACTGTATGTAAATTACACCTCAATCTAAAAAAACCTTTACTACTCTAGTCCCCTCCTTATTTTGTAGATGAAGGAAACAAAGGCTCACTCAAAAAGTCTAAGAGGGGCGAGGGGCAGTATAGGGGTGGGGGGTGAGAGGTACAAACTATTAGGTGTAAGATAGGCTACAAGGATGTATTATACAACATGAGGAATATAGCCAATATTTTATAATAACTGTAAATGGAGAGTAACGTTTAAAAATTGTATAAAAAATAAAAATTTTTAAATAAGTGAATAAATCTGGGGGGTGGGGTCAAAGAAACTTGCTAAAGGCTTTGAGGACTCACAGTATTCTTATTTAAATATAGTACAGGGCTAGTTTCAACCAAAGGTTCTCCCAAGACCTACCCACTCACTGACACCAAGCATTTGTGATTTTATTTTGCCATTATTAACTATGTCCATTCCAAGTGATCAAGCTGGTTGTAGAGATGGATGAAATGCCCAAACGCCACTTAAGCCAAACCAGAGCCTTGCCCCAATGTACAGCCAATCAAGACAGTCTGTGGACATTCAAGACAGGGGACTGTGTGTGTTGAGGTGGCACAGAGGGAAGGTTAGAGTGGAGAAAAAGGAGTAATTTCTTATATTCCTAAAGCTCTTCATTTAAGAAAAGCAGCAACTTTAATAGCTTAATCTTAATAAACATTATAATTTTTTCTCCTTTCTATCTACGGTCAATTCTATTCATTTGCATCGGATATAAGGAAGAATCTCAAATTAATAAACTCTTGACTTACCAGATTGGACACTCTAAGATTTTCTGCATAGCATTAAGGACATTTTGTACTTCTTCAACGTGATTCGCAGAAAAATCCATTTCTTCCTGTTTCCATGAACTTTAACACATGAACTTAAATATATATGTAAATAAATCACGTTAAAAGGTTTAAAAGCTTGATTTCATTAAGTGCCACTTAAAATTGGAATGCTTTAGTATCAGATCAACCATAGAACTAATGACAAAAACCTTATTTTAAAAAAATTCTACAAGTTTTTTTGTAATTAAGACCATTTAAATTCTCTATTTTTTCACATCTAGCCTCCAATCACTTCCTTTTGGTCTTTTCCTTTCTCCAAGAACGGGAAAGCCACAGTGGGGTGACTGACTGGGTGAGTGGTGGTAGCCACCTAATTCTCCAATCATCCCGGCTGTTTTCTTTTTCTCGCTTAAAATCAAAATCAACACCAACCAATGCTCCCCACCCCTGTCCTTCCCCAGTGTTTTCCCACTGGCCTGCACTCATCTCAGGATCCTCCTCAGGCACATCCATGCCAGCAGCGTATATGCCAAGGGAGGCTCGCCCCTCTACTTCCTTCTTGTCCCTTCTCAGAAACGCATATGAATCCAGTTCTTAACGGCTCTTCCTCCCACAAAATTCTGTTTCCTCCTCTTCCCAGACACATTCCTGCACCCCGCTTTCCCTCTGGGTCTCCATCTCACATATACCAGCCCATCTTTGTATACCATGATGTCCCCCTCAAGACCCATTCCAGTTTCCACCATCAGGATTCCCCCTCGGAGACATCCTGCCCCCTCCCTTATCTGCAGCGCCTCCCCCCGACCCCGTGTCCCACAAATTACCCCCCTCCCCACGATTTCCCCAGATTCAACGTCTTAGGCTTCTCAGGTTCCATCTTCCGCCCGCCCCTTGGCAGATAACACCCATCTTGCTCGCCTTCAGGAGTTACCTCTCCCCTGCTGTCTCCACACCTGTTTACTGCCTGTCCCCCGGAGCACCCTGTAGGCCCCTCTCCCTTCCCCAGGGTTCTCTCACATTTATCCAGAGCAAAGCGTCTGTGGTTCCCGGGCCCAGAGGCCCACTTCTCTGAAAAAACCCCCCGGACCGCCCTTGGTCAGGAACACTCACACCGCGCAGTCGCAGTTTCAATTAATCTGTAATTCCCGCGCTTTCCTTTTGCCACGGAAACCGGCCGCTGCGCCTAGCGAGAGCCTCTCAGAACGCGAGAACGAAACACGTTACGGAAGGGCGGAACAGAAAGAGCTGAGCCTCTCGGGGTTCCTGATTGGTCACCCATTCTTTCCCTGCGTTACGTAATTAGAAAGAGACGGGAGAGAACGAATTCTGCTCGAGTTTTCTAATAGGCGCCTGACCCCTTACCTCTACGCTTCCAGGTGCGGCTTATTATGTCACAGTGATTGCTGTACTAGGGTCGGAATCGCTACCTGAGGCCCGAATATGAGCGCAAGATAGTGCCTAAAAGAGTCGAAGGAAGAGGGCCCATTCCCTCACCCTTTCCGTCGCAATGGAAGTCTCCAGTTTTGGTAAATAAAAGGGCTGTGGGGGGAAAACTACGATTTCCAGCATGCATTGCGGATCGAAAGGCCTTGGCCACAGTGTCCCTTGGAAACTGTAGTCTTATGGAGAGGAACTTCCGACACTGGAAGCGGGCACGAGTCTCGCGACAGCCCAGTTGACAAATTGAAGAGCTCCGCCCGCTTATGCACGTCAACAGATATGGATTGGAGTGTTATGTTTTAGTATCTTGAGAGCGGATAATAGGCTAAAGAACCTACAAATCCTAGGAAGACTACAATTCCCATCCATCCCCGCGAGTCTCCGGCAAGTCGTCCTCTAAGGTCGGTGACCTAACTAAGGTCCGGCGCAGCTTTTACCTGGGAAGGGGAAATCGGCCCACGGCTGCGCACTCGTGGTTCCGCCCCTTTGCCCCAGTGTTTGTTGTTGTTGTGAGGTTCTGGCTGCTCCTGACCCGCCTCCGCCAACTCATCTTCGACCAATCAGTGGGGTGGTAGTTTTGAGGGACAAGTGGTAGGAACCAATCATCTTGTCGGAAACTCAGAGACGCAGGGAACTAGGCCCTGTCTCTCTCCGCCATGTTAGATTCACCCCGCAGGGATAGCCCGAGAGCTGGCTGCGGACGGTTCTTGCACTGGCCTCGGGCAGGCGCCCCCCGGGGGCGGGAAGCTGGTAAGGAAGCAGTTGCGGTTACCTAGGGGTGGTGTCACGTCGCACTGAGAGGGCTTGGGGAAGTTCAAGGGAGAAAACCTGCAAAGAAGAGGGGCGACTTTTTCCGTGTCTGGGGCCAGCCGATCTTTTCAGTGACCTGATGGGAGAGCAGTTCGTGTTCCGAGGGGCCAAGGGGGCGGATACCACCGGAGGGATGGCGGGTCCGTGGCTTAGAACGCCTGGCTTCTGCTGAAGGACGCCGAGACTCCCCAGCACAAAGAGGGCCTAGGCAAAGAAAACGAGAGAGAGTCTTCAGGGGTTGGTGATACTGTCTTGGGGACATGGAGTGCCAGGAAAAGTTAAGTGGAAGACTAGGATGAAGTTTCCAAGGAAAAAAAAAATGACACTACCCACACAGCCTCCTACTCCCCCTCATCCCACTTTTGGGGAACCTCATAAGGAAGTCTCCTTGGTCAGGGACCTCTGGTATTGGAAAGACACCGTTTTTCCTTTTTATCGAACACGCAGCTTTCAGCTCACACATTTTAACTCCAGGATAGCTTGTACAGGCCTCCGGTGGAGACAGTAATGAAAGCTCAGGTTCCCAGGTCAGATTCGTTAAAGGGATTTTTGATATCCTGGAAAAATCGACATAGAGGAAAAGCTGATCTATGCCAAGCAAAGATGAGCCAGTGGCATGAACTTAATATAATGCCAGTTAATGAAAGCTGAAGGCCGAGGCCCCAGCTACCTGACTTTACTAACTACAGGGACAGAGAGTACTAACGATAGCTTTGGTATTTCCACAAGTTCAAGACTAATGCTCTCGCTAAAAGAATTTTCACATATAAGGCAAACCGAAATAGGCAGCTCTTTATGAAGACCTGGATATGGTCCAGCTAAACTAGAATCTCCCACTTCCTGTTTTCTCCTTGCCAGCCAACTAGTTGGATGAGCTCCAAAGTATCTAAACTAATTTCCAACTGTGTAATTTGAGAAAAGGCAAAGAAGATTAGTTTCCTTTTGGACTTTAAAAAGTGGAAGTGTGTTTCTCAGAAGTTGAAAAGTGAGAATGTGTTTTAGAATATCCACTTTTGGCTGAGTGAATCAGTCACCTAATCTCCCTGATTTTTTGCCCAAGATTCTGGGGAGTTGCCAGGAGTTCTGTCCAAATTTTAAGGACCCCAAGAATTGCATTCCATATGAATGAAATACTAGATGTCAGCAGGATTGGTGCTAGAAACTATTTTGGTGGTGAACTTGGCTCTAGGTAGAGAAAAAGGATGGAAAATGTTGGAGGATGATTGTCTTTGGATTAAAAAAAAAAAATCCCTGATCCTCAGAGAATTGAATCCTCAGAGAATTCAAGATCGTTTTTAATGACAGTTGTATTGTTTCACAGGGCAGTTCCTTACACTGTGGAAAACAGGACTATTTCAGGCCCTGATTTATTACGATAATAACTTTTATATTTGAGTACCGTTTTCAAAGAAATAACATACACATTTTTACTTGATCCTTGTGATAACATCCTTGTGAGGTTAGCAAAGCAGAGGTCTTAGACCTATTTTACAGATTAAGGAACTGAAGCTCGGAGGTTAAAAGACTTGCTCACACTTACATGGCTAGTAATGTGCCACAGCTGTGTCTGGAACCCAGCTCTTCTAAACCCCTGTGATCCCTCCCCTCATTACACTGTAAACTCCTGAGACTTAATCTTGTTCCTCTCCAATGTCCTGTGCCTGGAGCAGAACCTGGCTCTTTGTAGATGCTTAGTCAAGATTTATTGATGAATATGTTTTTTAGAAAACATATAAACATATAAAAAAGCTGGCCTTTTTCATTACAACTTACATTTAGATTTAAACAATTTTTTCATAAAGTCAAAAAAAACCAATCTAACAACTCATAAGTAATCAATCCTTAAAATTCTTACCTTTTAGAGGTAAATATTCAATTATTTTGTGGATGAAATGAGTTTGGTTAAAACAGTTGACTACAGTCAATCCATATTGGGGGGATGGAAGGGTATAGATGAAATGAGGGTAGCTTTGAGTTGATCATTGTAGTTAGATGTTCACTACTCTCCACTTTTATGTATGTTTGAAATTCTCCATAAAAGAAAAAAAGTAGCCTACAAAAAAAACAAAAAACATGAACTTCGATGAAGGTTGTTGAATGCTACCCCTGTATAGTTTCTTGGCGAGTGGTTCAGCCTCTAACTTGTTGTTAAATGGATCTAATAGAGAACTTTGGTTGCTCAATTTAGGAAAGGGCTGCTTTTCCAAGAAAAATATAGACCATCACTTTCAGGCTTTAGAAATGTAAATTCCCCAAGGGTAGAGACCTACGCTTACTCATCTTGGTAACCTACTAGTAAATATGTAACAGTAGGTATCTGTTTAATTAAGCAATCATTATAAAGTTCATAAAATCCTAAAGGATTTTACAAATGTTAGATGATTTCTGTGAATGTGGCCAAAATTTACATTCTCTCTGCAAACATATGGCAGTGAGATTCGTTTTAAGCCACCCACTAGACTCTAAATAGCAAAAGAGCAGGGACATTATCTTCACACCCACTGCTGTGTCCTCCTAGCCTAGCCTGTATTAGGTCCTCACAAGTATTTGTTGAATGAATGTTTATGCAGCTTATAGAACTCTTTCTAATGTGTTTTCTCTCTCTCATCCATCCTCTCTTCTCTAGCCCCACAGCATGGAACCACAGGTTACTCTAAATGTGACTTTTAAAAATGAAACTCAAAGCTTTCTAGTTTCTGATCCAGAAAATACAACCTGGGCTGATGTGGAAGCTATGGTGAGTGTTACTTTGTTTTGTTTCTCCATCCTTTAAGCATAAATATTTTTTCCAGAGATAGCTATTTTTAGCTGTGTCATATTTACCATTTCTGGGCCTTTTGGAAAATTATTTTTGACAGGGGCTTGGGATTCATATAGGAGATGTGCCCTGGTAGAGGAAACAAACAAATTCTTTCTGAGGCGTTTAGAAAGGAAAGGTAAATTTATTTTTTTAAGTGAGATAGGACTTAGAAATCCTGTTTATTTTAGAAACGGGAGGCCTGAGGAATGAATTGGTGTGGACTCCGCCCTAACGGGGCCTGAGGTGAATGTTCTCTTGCTTGAGAGCAGATAGGTTACTGTGGTTTTTGAACCACCAAGGATATAATTTGTGTTTTGCAAGAGCTGATCGATTGCTTTTATTGCTAGGTCAGAGGATGAATATCTCAAAGTTGAGCAGGAAGAACTCGCACGGGTGTTCAGATAGCAGCTCATCTATCACTTTCGTTGTTGTTAGTGCTTTTCCTCTTCTTGGTTTGCCCTTTGTACTCTTCTGTTTTTGTTTGATTTGCAGTAGTGAATGTTTTACTTCCTGTGTAACTGTGTTTGTCTAATGAAACTCTTTGGTAAAAACCTAGTTTTACCTGGTTGGTAAAAACCTACTTTTCTCTGGTTATGTGTTATGGTAACCAAAAAGGAAAAGAAATGGTGGAGAGACCTCAAAAGATGATCTGATCTCATCCTTTGTCTTCCAGGAAAAATATTTCCTTTATACTACCCTGGACAGATGGTTATCCAGAAAGTTGGATCTTGTTTGTCAAATGATCTGAAAATCAAACACAGCTATCTTTTTTTTCCTAGTAGTTAAATGAACTGACAGCTTGCCTTTTTTCTTTATTGTAAATTTTAAATTATAAAAGTGTAATACCTGCCCATTATAAGAAGTGAAACAATCCAAACATATATAAAGAAAATGTTAATATCCCTCCACTCCCCATACCCTCCACCCGCTATTCTAGCCTCTTTGGGGGTAACCAGTGTTAACAGCCCTGTGTGTACTTCCCACATTTTCCATGTTCATACAGTTATCATACCATACTATGAACATTATTCTACAACTTGCTTTTTGAAAACAAAACAAACAAAAAAAACCAGGAGAAAAACAAGTAGTGGTTTACTAACATGCATACCTCCTGTATACATGAGTGATACCCAGGAAAACTGAGTAACTCCACAGCTTGCTTTTTTTAACCCAGCCTGTATTATAGACACAGTTCTCAATGAATAGACAAGGATCCAAGCTGCTGGTGGTGTTATACAACAATTTAACCATCCCTTATTGAAAGATTGTTTCTAGGGTTTTTTGTGGGTTTTTTTCAATTGAGATATAGTTGACATATAACATTATATTAGTTTCAGGTATACAATGTAATGATTCTATGTTTTCGTGTATTGCAAAATGATCACCACAGTAAATCTAGTTAATATTCATTACCACACACAGTTACATTTTTTTTTCCTTGGGATGACATCTTTTAAGATCTATTCTCTTAGCAACTTTCAAATATACAATATAGTACATATTATTAACTGTAGTCACTGTGCTGTACATTACATCCCCAGGACTTTATTTTATAATTGGAAGTGTGTACCTTTGACCACCTTTACCCATTTTATCCACCTCCCATTCCCTGCCTCTGCAACCACCAATGTGTTCTCTGTATCTATGAGTTGATGAGTTGTTTATTTGTATTTAATATTCCACATATAAGTGAGATTATATGGTAGTTTTCTGTCTGATTTATTTCAGTTAGCATAATGCCTCAATTTCCAAAAGGTTGGGTTTTTTTTTCCTTTTACCACTATAAAATAAACTACAGGAGATCCCTCTTTGTATATATAACGTATACACTGTTCTATAGGATAAAGTTTCCCAAAGTGAAATTAATGGGTCACCAAGCATGTGACTTTAAATTTTCATAGATACTACTGCATGCTTTGCAGAACAGTGGTAGGACCCCACAGAAGCACATGACAGTGCCCTGGATCTTTATCCGTATTGGATGTCTTTTTGTTTTTGGCCGCAATGCGTGGCTTGCGGGATCTTAGTTCCCCAACCAGGGATTGAACCTGGGCCCTCGGCAGTGAAAGCCCAGAGTCCTAACCACTGGACTGCCGGGGAATTCCTCAACATTGCATGTTACAGCTTTAAAAATTGTGTTGCTATTCTGTTGAGATGACATCTCATTGCTTTAATTTAGGTTGTTCTGACTACCATTAAGGTTAAACATCTTTTCATGTATTTGTTAGGCATATCTGATTTCTTCAGTGAAATTTCTGTAGACTTTGGCCCACTTTTACCAGTTAAGATCTTATGATTAGCAGTTGCTTTTTGTGTATTGCAGATATTAACCCTTTGTCTCTCGTGATTTGCAAATATTTTTCCCAGTCTATTGCTTGTCTTTTGACTTTGGTTTTTTTTTAACCATGTAAAATGTTTAATTTTTATGTAGTGAAATATGTCAGTCCTTTATTTTATGACTTCTAGGGTTCTATTACAACCTGCCTTTTTAATAACTTGATCATATAGTGTATACATTTCATTTGCAGGTAAAAGTTTCATTTGATTTGAACACTATTCAAATAAAATACCTGGATGAGGAAAATGAAGAGGTAAAGTATATTATGGTACCCATGACCAGGTATCCAGAATAGGGATCTTATTTCTCAAGAGGGATGTGGAGCTCAAAAAGTTCAGAATAGTGTTTATCTCATTTGTGTAGGAGTTTAAACATATTTGATAATTGTATGTTCTAAGCTGATTTGTGCCATCTGAGATGGAGTTGAGAAATAAGGAAGCGACATTGAAGAAGAAAATCTGAGAGATAACTTTTAAAACTATATAGTGATCTTATGTTCAACTGTATCACAAGCTGCTATTTAGTTTCTAGTAATAAAAATAATAATGACAAACCCTTATTGAGTGGTTACAATGTGTCAGACTAACAACAATACTATTATCATTATCTCTGTTTTACGCATGAGAAAACTGAGGCGCCGAGAGTTTAAGTAACTTGCACAAAGGCACAAAAGCTTGGAAATAGCAGAGTAGGGTACTACTCATACCCTCTGATATACATACTTTATACCCTCTGGCTCCAGAGCCCAGGCTCCTAGCCACTATATTATGCTGCTTCTTAACTACCTGAAACAAAGGAGGATATAATAGTTAAGCAGTAAAATTACTTAATTATTCACATTTAGTTCAGATACTGGAAAAGCTGAATGCCTGACCTGAGGTTTTGTATCTATCCTGTGAGGCTGGATATGCTGAATTGCTCAGTTGATGAGAGGTTTATAATTCACTGTTGCTTTTTTTCCTTTTACAGGTATCCATCAACAGTCAAGGTGAGTCCCTGAGAGAACCTATTCAGGTTTATTTAAAAGCCTTAATCTGATCATAGGCATTGGCATTTCCATTTCCATTCAAATCTTGTTGCAGTATTTATTTTAGAGTAGAATTTGGTATGCAGTAAATGCACTCACTTACCCATAGGCATTAGTTACATAGGAGAGCTTTATTTTATAACAGTTTTTTGTGTATAGGTTGGTGCCTTGATTGGACCCAAAGGACAGCTTTAATGAGAGGTTCTCTTATATTTAAGATGCTAATGTTTTGAAAAACATGTTTCCCAATTCAACATATTTAACTTGTTTTCCTGGTATTGCTTTTGTCCTATATATATTAAAGTCAAGTTATAAATAAGATGGTTGGTTTTTGAGAGCATGGGGTGCATTTTCCCACAGGAGCAATGTTATATTTGAAGATTAGGTTCCCAGGATAGCCCCCAGAACCTTATTTTAACCAGCTGAAATGATAGTATTAACATCATCCTTTAACTTCCTTGAGTCCTGAGCTTCACTAAGCCTAGAGTGAGGGAGCTGGATTGAGTTTTTGTAACTGGAAGACTCTAGTAGCAGAGAGAGGGATTTAAGGGGGAGAACTAATTTGCAGGTAGCTTCTGTTTATGATGGGATAAGAAGGGAATTTGTCAGCAAAAAGGTAGTAGCTGTTCATATATAAGGACTGTAAGCTAAGAATTCTTAAAAGTAAGAATTGTCCGTGCTTAATAGAATCTTTTGGGCTGGTAAAAAAAATCACAGTATGTATATTTTTGTCCTTCTAGGAGAATATGAAGAAGCACTTAAGGTAATGATCATTTCATCTTATTTTCAAATAATTTTTTAAATGTTTATGGACTAAAACTTGAGCCTGAATTCCATTAGCCATGTGGAGAAACTAATGACTATAAACACAGCAAAACCCATTTTTAGGGAGACTGTGATGAGTTCAGCATACCACGCAGCAAAAGGTACCTCCTAATACAAAGGTTCTTTCCAGTATCGTTGCATCTCATTGCTGGTCTTGATACCACTGTACTGGCATTTCAAAATTGAAAGAACTCTCTGAACTGATGCTTTCTGGTTCACATTTTTTATCTCCTTCCTTCACCTTGTTCCCTGTCAAATGTTACACTATAATGTGGAAGAATTTAAGGTATAAACCATCCATTTACAATCTCTTGTGTGTCAGTGATGAATTAGAGTATTCCTCAAGGTCACTTATTTAAGGTGTGCTAAGCTGACCTTTCACTGACTATCCTTTTTGAACTTCTAATCCAGGCTGAGCCATTTTCCATAATCACTTTTTGTCTAGGGAGGGAAAGGCAAGATTTTTTTTTAAATCAGGAGCTGGATTTACCCTTCCTGGTTTTTGATCAGAATTGCTATTCTGAGTGCCACTTGTTTCAAAAGTTTAGCCAATGTCTTCTTGGTTTTTACGCAGAAATCCTCATTTACCAGCCAGTCTCTTGGTTTTAGGCATTCAGGCCCTTTCCTGGTTTCTCTTAGTTGAAATACCCGTCTCTGTTAGTAATTTTTCATGCTTCGTAATTTCCCTCTGCAGGACTTGGGATGTGTGTGTATATATAAATATATAATATATATAAATATATATAATACTGACTTAAAAATCAGATTCTGCAAAGTACATTTTTTTTAATCTGTGCCAAAAATGTGTTTTCAGAGAAAATCTTATTTTCATACTCAGACTTTGTATTGTCACTCATTTGCATAGGTGCGCTTCGTTACAGCACGGGCCCTGCCCCCACCATTTGGAAGTGTCACACACACACACACAAAAAGCCTGTACAAAAGACTGGCTTCCCTTCTTCCTGTGACCTTGACCTGTCCCACAACTTCCTAACACTTATTAACTTATGAAACTTTTTCTCAGCACAGTTTTGTTTTGCATGTCCATTGGATTACAAACTTTATTAAAAAATATAGAACAACAACAAAAAGAAATTTCCCTCTGCCCCAGTTTTCACGTGATCTTCCTAGTTCCCCTTTGCTTTTTTTTTTTTTTTTAAATTTATCTATTTTATTTACTTATTTTTGGCTGCGTTGGGTCTTCGTTGCTGCACATGGTGTTTCTCTAGTTGCTATGAGCGGGGGCTACTGTTCGTTGTGGTGCATGGGCTTCTCATTGCAGTGGCTTCTGAATTCTGAATTCCATTAGCCGTGTTGCGGAGCACGGGCTCTAGGCGCTTGGGCTTCTGTAGTTGTGACTCACGGGCTCTAGAGCACAGGCTCAGTAGTTGTGGCGCACGGGCTTAGCTGCTCCTCAGCATGTGGGATCTTCCTGGATCAGGACTCGAACCCATGTCCCCTGCATTGGCAGGAGGATTCTTAACCACTGTGCCACCAGGGAAGCCCTTCTTCTTTGCTTTTAAGCTGTTCTAACATGATGTCTCCCAACACCCCTTTACTCTTCTCCAATCTTCTGGCTTTTCTTTTTCCATATTCAGAAGCTATAGTAGTTTCATTAAAAAAGTCATTTAAAAACTTCATAATTCTTCTACCTTTCTCACAGCCACTATTAGTTTACCTATTCTGTCAGAAATCTTGGATCTCAGCAGTCTAGAGTTTATATAAGCCTGTCTTGCCCTAGGAAGCAAGACTTTTTCTACATACATTTTTTTCTGTAGTAACATATAATACTTAAAATTCCATGTTTATATTTTGACACAGTTCGTTGTAGTTGTTTCTTGAGCAATTTTTTCCACAGACTCTACCAAATATTTTAGAAAAAGCTTCTTGGTTTGTGGTCTAGAGTAGGAGTTGGCAAACTATAGCTGGGAAGCTGGCCATGTATGTATGTGTGTATATATATATATATATATATATATTTAAAATTTTTTGTAAACATTGTATTTCATCTGAATTTAATATGATACAAAAGTATTATGTGCTTGAACCTGTCACCTAAATAGAAGGTTCTTTCAGTTCTCCAGGCCAACCTTCCTTTAGAGGCAAATAAGAAACAAATCACCTCACACCTGTCAGAATGGCTATCATCAGAAAGACCACAAATAACAAATGTTGGCGAGGATGTGGAGAAAAAGGAACACTTTTACACTGTTGGTGGGAATGTAAATCGGGGTGGCCACTGTGGAAAACAGTATGGAGGTTCCTCAAGAAACTAAAAATAGAGCTACCATACGACCCAGCAACTCCACTCCAGAGTATATATCCAAAGAAAACAAAAACATTAATTTGAGAAGATATTTGTACCCCAGTGTTCATAGCAGCATTATTTACAATAACCAAGATATGGAAGCATCCTAAGTGTCCATCAACAGATGAATGGGTAAAGAAGATGTGTGTGTGCACGCGCGTGCGCGCGCACACACACACACACACACACACACACACACACACACACACACAGGAATACTACTCAGCCATAAAAAAGAATGAACTTTTTCCATTTGCAACAACATGGATGTAACTTAGAGAAATAGGTCAGGGAGAGAGAGACAAGTACTGTATGTTATCACTTATATGTGGAATCTAAAAAGTAAAACAGGGACATCCCTGGTGGTCCAGTGGCTAAGACTGCACTCCCAATGCAGGGGGCCCAGGTTCGATCCCTGGTTAGGGAACAGATCCCACACAGTGCAACTAAGACCTGGCTCAGCCAAATAAATAAATACTTTTAATAAATAAAATAAACTAGTGAATATAACAAAAAGAAACAGACTCATAGATACAGAAAAGAAACTGGTGGTTACCAGTGGGGAGGGACAAGAAGGGTAGGGGATTTAGAGGTGCAAACTATTATATATAAAATAAATAAGCTATAAGGATATATTTTACAGCATGGGGAATTTAGCCAATATTTTATAATTAAGAAAGGAAGAGAAATCACATTATGTAGCGTATATATAGATAATTTGCTTTTACAAAAACAAAATATTTGGACATTTTATATTCAGTATAGCTTAGCAATCCAGTTTCTGTTGACAAATTTAGTTAACTGTTAGGAGGTATAGTACATATTCAAGAGAACTTAATAGCCCACAGATATTTTAACCCTTAAGGATGACATGTCTGATTTAATTTTGTTTCTGTTTTTAAAGAAGATACTGGTAAGAATTCGCTGGTGGTCTAGTGGTTAGGACTCCGAGCTTTCACTGCTGAAGTCATGGGTTCTGTATCTGGTTGGGGAACTAAGATCTCGCAAGTCACGTGGTGTGGCCAAAAAACAAAAAAGAGATAATACTGGCCCTTTGTAGTAGAGGCTTTGAGCTGCTTCTCCCTCTTTTTTCCTCCTAATTCTTGTTCTTTAACAGCATGCTTAGCTTGTACCTGTTCACATTCTTCCTGTGCTGTTTGATTTGATGTTTTCTTTTTCTTTGGAATAGCAAGAGAATTTACTCTTATGCTACATTGTTCTTCTGGCCGAGGCTGCTCAAAGCTACCGTGTTCTTCAGACAAAGTCTGGTCAATACTATATTGCTCTTCTGGCAAAGGTTGATCTACGTATTCTTACAAAGGCTGGTCAGCTTGTTCTTCTGATAAGGACTGGTCAACTTTTCTAGGTGGCTTCCTGAGTCTTTCCTCTACAACTAAGTAGAGGTGCTTCAGATGATCAGGATATAAATCTGTGAACTGTGATTCCTGTGAGGTTTGAGCCTTCATTTCCTGTCGTAGCAATTTCTTATAATTTTTCTGACTTTTTAGTTTTCTTCAAAATTTAAAGCCTTCCCTCACGAACTTTCCCCACGAAGGCCTACAGATGGTTGATGGTTAGGTTGCCATGTGTTCTGTTTCACATTCTTATTTCTGAATCCTGCCAACAGCTCCTTTGTTACATGTCCCAAAAATCCCTGTCTGCCACCTTGCTGCCAGCATCACCCTGGCCACATTTTTTTTTTTTTTTTTTTTTTTTGCAGTACGCGGGCCTCTCAACTGTTGTGGCCTCTCCTGTTGCAGAGCACAGGCTCTGGACGCGCAGACTCAGTGGCCATGGCTCACGGGCCCAGCCGCTCCGTGGCATGTGGGATCCTCCCGGACCAGGGCACGAACCCGCATCCACTGCGCCACCAGGGAAGCCCCACCCTGGCCACATTTTTATAAATAAAGTTTTATTAGAACACAGTCATGCCCATTCATCATGTATTGTCTGTGGCTACTTTTGTGCCACAATGGCAGAGTTGAGTAGTTGTGACAGAAACTGAATGGCCTGCAAGCCTAAAATATTTATTATGTGGCCCTTTAAGAAAGTTTCCTGGGTACTTTCTTGGTGGTCTGGTGGTTAAGACTTCACCTTCCAATGCAGTGGGTGTGGGTTTGATCCCTGGTCAGGGAGCTAAGATCCCACATGCCTCACAGCCAAAACACCAAAACATTAAAAAAATAGAAGCAATATTGTAACAAATTCAATAAAGACTTTAAAAAAAAAACTAAAAGTTTGCTGAACAACAAGGATGTACTGTATAGCACAGGGAACTATATTCAGTGTCTTGTAATAACCTATAATGGACAAGAATCTGGAAAAGCATATATATATGTATATATATAAATAACTGAATCACTTTGCTGTGTACCTGAATCATTGTAAATCAACTATACTTCAATTAAAAAAAGAAAAAAGAAAGTTTGCTGATCCCTGACCTAAGATAATAGCTTTCAGACTTTTTGGACGTGGAATGCTGTTTTTAAGTGGAATCTTAAGAAGTCTAATGTGTGAAAATAGATAAAGGAAGAACAAATCTTGTCACTGGGTAACAAGTGGGAGGAGCTAGAACCCCACGGACTTGACCCCCTAATCTCTTCTTGGACGCTGGAGTACCTTCATGGAATCTCAAATGCTCCTTGAAGTAGAGTTTTCAAAATAGGATATTTAAGAAGATGCTCTTCAAAAAGAGGTGACCACTTAAGCATGCTTTCCAAAATACTATTCTTAGTGGGAAGGTAGACGCTTAACTTTGGACATAGCTTTAAGTTTCCTGGGTCTAGAATTGACTTTTGAAAAGTTGAAATTAGAATCCGTAAGTGGAGTCCTATGTAAAAACCAGTTAATAGATGGTAACTAGACAAACTGTGGTGATTATTTCACAATGTATATTTGACATTTTCAAATGTCAAATCATTATGTTGTAACCTGAAACTAATATATGTCAATTACACTTAAATTTAAAAAGTTAAACAGAAAAGTAGTAACCCAATTAATGAAAACATCTCACCTAATGAAGAGCTACACTAAAACCCTTTTGTTTTTAACAAAACCATTCCTAGTTAACATTCTTGGCCAAGAAACAGCAGACTGTTAACATATTTGTTATTTGATTTAATAAAAGAAGCATGAATCTGATATTTTCCAGCATATTTTACCACACCTCTTCTGTTTAGGTGTCTTTGAAATTTTATTTAGGAAAGGAGAATCACACAATATTGTTTTTAATTTCATAACGTATGCTCTCAGATGGCAGTTAAGCAGGGAAACCAACTGCAGATGCAAGTCCATGAAGGCTATCGTGTTGTCTACGAAGCCCCACCCCCAGTTGGAGCAGAAAAACGACCAGTTGCAAGGACAGGGAAGAAGCCACTTGCACATTATTCTTCACTGGTGAGAGTCTTGGGATCAGACATGAAGACCCCGGAGGAGCCTGCAGCACAGGTACAAAGGGAATGGACCTGTCTCTATGATTTTTCTAACCTATGTTTCATTGTCTCTAGTTTAAGATTTGAGCTGTTCATCAAAGATTTGGGAGTTGTTTTGACTGTCTCCGTCTGACTTTTTGAAACTAGTAACAGTGGTTACTTCTGGAGAGGAGCATGAATAGTTTGACATAAAGACTTTGGTTTTTCCTATACTCTTTCATGCTCATTTTTTTTGACCATATATTTATATTATTTGGCAACAGAAACCTCAAAGTAATACATTTCAGGAGATTTACTTTAAACAGAAAAAGAAAAAAACTATCTCCGATTGTGTTTACTTGCAGCAGTTTCCACCTGCTCCACGTGACGCAGACCAGCCTCAAGACAAGCCCCCAGACTGGTTCACAAGCTACCTAGAGACAGTGAGTGTTCTTTCTGGCTTGGGTTCTAATGGCAGTGTTGGAACGGGTGGAATGTGGAAGAAACAGAAAGCTAAATCCAGATGGCTGCTGCCTCTGGTACAGGTGAATGAAGAGTAGTAGCTAATAATATCCAAACTAGAGTAGTTCCAGTCAAGAAAGTTCCTAGCTTTTGCAATAATGTACTAGAAAAAGGGGGGAGTTTAATTCTAAGGATGTAAGGGAAAGGGACAAATTTCTGTGCTTGAGAAGGAAGAGTTAGAAATTTACTCATCAATGGATTTTTTGGTATTTTATTTGAACCAGTTTAGCTATGGAAGGAATAGACCTTTTTTGCTTTGTTTCTGTCCCTTCATTTAGTAGCTATTATCTGTTTATTATGCTCTTATGTTATACCAGAGGTGGTGAGGTTTCAGGTCTATTTGATATTTTCATGCCTTTTTCCAGTCTTGGAACTGAGGGGTTTTTTCCCCCATCTTCTCTGTATTCTAGTTCAGAGAGCAAGTGGTTAAAGAAACAGTTGAGAAGCTTGAACAGAAATTACGTGAGAAGCTTATCCTCCAGAATCCATCCTTGGGTTCCTGTCCTTCAGAAGTCTCAATGCCTATTTCAGAGGAAACACTGTTTTTGCCAGAAAACCAGTTCAACTGGCATATTGCTTGCAGCAGCTGCCAAAGGAGGATCGTCGGTGTGCGCTACCAGTGCAGGTAAAGCAGTAACTGGGCAGTGAATAGCTCTTAGTAGAACTTACAGCAGGCGGGCCTTCTAGCATTCTGGGAGGTACCCTCTGAGCACCATCCATAGCAGCTCTGGATTGGAAACAAGCTACTCTTCATCCACAAGATAAAATAACTATTTGAAGGGTATTCAGATTGTGGTGTTCATATATACTTTCGAATTAAAAGAGCCAAAATTAAGTTCCCCAAAACAAAATTGGATCCCCAAGGATTATCTCCGTATTCCAAATGCTTTCATATCTCGTTTTCTCCCATAGATTGTCCTTTGAAATAGGTACAGGTGAAGTGTTACTATCCTCATTTTATTCATGAGGATTGAGACATGGCATGGATGGGTGATGTGCTCAGGTTCCCACCTAGCTGGTAATAGAGCAGATAAGGAAGTCTGGGTCCCTATCGCCCAACCTCAGGTACTTCCCACTGTTCCTTTCTTTTCCTCATAGCCTCTGCCCATCCTACAATATCTGTGAAGATTGTGAATCGGGGCCATATGCCCATGACTCCAACCATGTCCTGCTGAAGTTGCGGAGACCTGTTGTGGGTTCCTCTGAACCCTTCTCTCACTCGAGGTTCTCTACTCCTCGTCTTCCTGCTGCTCTGGAACAGGCCAGGTAAAACCATATGTGCATGGGATGCTTGTTCTCTGTTTGGTTTCTTGGTTTTGGTGACAGGGTGTGAGTCACAAAACTACAAATAGTCTCCTGGGAATTCCCTGGCAGTCCAGTGGTTAGAACTCCACGCTTCCACAGCAGGGGGCACGGGTTCGATCCCTGGTCGAGCAACTAAGGCCCCACATGCCGCATGGCACAGCCAAAAACAAAACAATAAAAGCACATAGTCTCCTTAGTTCCCACTCCTTTCCAGTTGATGTGCAATGACGGGGATAATTATCCTCCAAAGCTAATGAGATGGAAATGAGAACTACAGAAAGAAATTAAGAAACTAACCTAGAAGCTGACGCTGATGGAGACCACAAGTGGCTCAAAATAGCTTCAAGATTTTTTAAATATTTATTCATTTATTTATTTAGGCTGCACCAGGTCTTAGTTGTGGCACTCAGGATCTTCATTGTGGCGTGGGGGAATTTTTTTTTTTTTTTTTTTTTTTTTTTTTTTTTTTTTTTTTTTTTTTGCAGCATGCATGCACAACCAGGGATTGAACCCGAGCCCCTGCATAGGGAGCGCAGAGTCTTACCCACTGGACCACCAGGGAAGTTCCTGAATAGCTTCAAGATTTGTTTGTGAGATTTGTTTTTTAAGACTGTGTTTTTTATCTCACAGACTCCAGAAACAGGTTGACAAGAACTTTCTTAAAGCAGAAAAGCAAAGGTTGCGAGCTGAGAAGAAACAGCGTAAAGCAGAGGTCAAGGAACTTAAAAAGCAGCTTAAACTCCACAGGAAGATTCATCTGTGGAATTCGATCCATGGGCTCCAGAGCCCCAAGTCTCCTTTGGGCCGACCCGAGAGCCTGCTGCAGTCTAACACCCCAATGTAAGCCCAGGGCCAGGGCGGGAGCCAGGACTTTAGGTCCAGCCCTCTAAACTGGAACTTAAGCCAACTTCTGTCTTATTTATTGGTAACCCATAACACCCAAACCCTTAAAACTTCCCGTTTTCCGATCCTAGTGTTCTTAAAGGGTGGTTTGGTAGTTATCTTTGACACTTGCTTTGTTGCCTTCTTCAGAAAAACAGAAACCAGTAAGGTTCAGAAACTGGCTGGTGTGACCTCTCTTCACTGGAGGCAGTCTGGATTTGAAGCAAAAGAAGCAAATATTTTAAGAGCCCAACTCTTTAGTTAATTTATGGTCCCTTTTAGTTATCCTCACCATAGTTTTTTGGCTTAGGAGTCAGGTCCCCTTGGGTTTTTTTTTGTTTTTTGAGGTTGTTTTTTGGGGTTGTTTTTGGCGTGTGGGATCTTAGTTCCCCAACCAGGGATTGAACCCGCGCCCCCTGCAGTGCAAGCACGGAGTCCTAACCACTGGACTGCCAGGGGATTCCCATTGTTAGTATTATTTTTAAGGCAAATGCATTGGTACATCCTCCAGGGTCACTGTCTGTGTCTCAAACCACAGTATTGGGTATTCAGAAGACATCACACCCAGCAGCAAGTGACTAAATATTTGAATCTCTGTTCAGGCTCCCTTTGCAGCCCTGTGCCTCAGTTATGCCAACCCTCAGTGCAGCATTTGTGGATGAGAATTTGCCTGATGGGACTCACCTCCAGCCAGGAACCAAGTTTATCAAACACTGGAGGATGAAAAATACAGGAAATGTAAAGTGGAGTACAGACACAAAGGTATTTTTCCCCACAAAACGTGAAGATGAAGTGATTTGAGGTGGCAGTGTGTTTAACTGACAGGCTTTCTTTCTCTTGTCACCATTCTTTTCAGCTCAAGTTCATGTGGGGAAATCTGACTTTGGCTTCTACAGAAAAGAAGGATGTTTTGGTTCCCTGCCTAAAGGCCGGCCATGTGGGAGTTGTGTCTGTGGAGTTCATTGCCCCAACCCTGGAGGGAACATACACTTCCCACTGGCGTCTTTCTCACAAAGGCCAGCAGTTTGGGCCTCGGGTCTGGTGCAGTATCATAGTGGATCCTTTCCCCTACACAGAGAGCTCTGATAACATTGAAAAGAGCACGATCAGCTCAAGCAAAGGTGCTGATCTCACCTGCCAGCAAGAGGTGAGCATTGGAAGGGTGACTAAAACCAAAAGAGCCCACTCACAGCTGGTGGTTCTTCAGAAGTCTGGAGAAGCCAGCTTCTCCCCTCCTTCAAACACATCGTGTGCTTATATTGGGCCTAGTCCTCAGGGGCTCTGTTTGCATGTCCTTCGCATCTTGGTGCAGGCGTCCCTCAGTGCTTTCGTATCTCTCTGTAGTGATGTGTGGCTAGCCTCTGTGCTGCACGAGGGAAAGCAGAGCTGCCTGGCCTGTGGGCCTGCTGAGCTGATGCCTTTGCTGCTTAACAGTCATCTCTCCTGTATATCCCTTGTGTATGTTTCCTAAATACTAATGAAGTCTTACCCTGGTTGTTACTTGGTGCACAGTTTTTTCAGGCAGCTTCCCTGTTTACTACTTAAATTTAGTTACCCAGTGTTAATGTCCTGGTTTCAACTGTTGTTTTTATGGTTAATCTAAGCTATTGTCATTAGGGGAAGCTGGGTGAAGGGGGTAATTAGTAAACTCTCTATACTGTTCTTGTAACTTTTCTATAAGTCTAAAATTATAACAAAACAAAAAGTTTTAATACATGCAGTGCTTTTGTTTTTAGGGAGGCAGCCGTCAGCTTGCCTTTTGAGTTCTGTTGAGGGCCTAAAATGTGTCCCAATGGTTTATCTCCATAGGAAGCTCTTCTTCTGGCTAAAGAAGAAATTCCACCTGGTGAAACAACTGAGCAGGCAGAAGGGACAGGAACCTGCATCCCACAGAAGGCCAAAAATGCTGCCAGCGAGAGGGAGCTCTACATCCCATCTGTGGACCTTCTGACTGCCCAGGTGGAAGACTGAGCACTTTGAGGGGCGAGGGACAGAAAGCCCTGGGGAAAGAGTTCTGAACTTGTTGAAGAAAAGGTGGTAGAGCCATAGGTGGTGCTCAGGAAGTTGGAGATACGCCCACTCTGATCTAGTCAGATGCACTGAATGGCAAAATCATCACCAGTGGGAGCAGGCTTCTAAACTAAATGTTTCGTCTTTGAATTGGGAACTTACCTTGTGCTTCCCACCACTTCCCTCTAGTTGCCTCTTCTTTTCTGCCTAACTGGTTCACCTTCACCCCCACTGCATTTGCTCTCTTTCCTGCCATTTGGTTATTTGAATGCCTACTTCCCATTTAACTCTTCTTGTTTTCACTTGACTGATGTGAGGCATGAATTTGAACAGAGTTGAATCTGGGATGATACAGAACTCAATGGCCTGCAGGACCCATCAAGACAAAACATGGCTCTAGCGTGTGCTGCGAGTAGTCTAACCTTGTGCCTTTTTTTTTCAGGACCTGCTGTCCTTTGAGCTGTTGGATATAAATATTGTCCAAGAGTTGGAGAGAGTGCCCCACAACACCCCTGTGGGTAAGAATGTCACTCGGTCCACCTTGCTTATTTTATTAACAGGCCCCAAAATACTGCAGCCCTGACTCTGGTAGTTAGTATTTTATTCTGAGGAAATAGTTGGCAAGGATTTCTCCCACAATGTGATATTAAAACTGCACCCATTGGTTCATTTTCCTTCCTCTCCCTGTTGTCAGAGGCAACAATACCAGTTTGTGCAAAGTTTCCCCACCATAAAGGGACCCTCTTCTCCATTTTTCTCTGGATATTTGTGTCCCTTTGTTCTTTTGCATTCATGGCTCTGTGTCTTGGCCATGGTCTCCCAAAGCCAAACAACCATTTATTATCCTTCCTGCACTGATGGATCTGTCTTGAGATACTTGTGTGCCTAATGGTCTGGAGAAATTCTTTAGAACGCCTTGAAGTGTACCTGGGTTTATTTTAGCCATGCAGGAGGCAAGAAGCCTATGAGCTGCTGTTTCTGGACACTGACTGTTGATGATGTGAAGCTTTTTCATGGCTGATGGTTCTCCTGTCTTCATTCTCCAGATATGACTCCCTGCATGTCTCCTCTGCCACATGACAGTCCTTTAATAGAGAAGCCAGGCTTGGGGCAGATACAGGAAGAGAGTGAAGGGGCGGGATTTAAAGAACTTCCTGGTAAGGGGTTAAATATTTGTAAAGTATTTGCATCCTCCCCTTCCACACCACACCCTGTTGTTACACATACCCCCTACTAATCTTACCTTGCTGTGTGAGCGGGTTTTCTGTAGGATCTCATTTTTTGAAGTCTCCTCACCTGCACATGGCACCAATAGCAGCTATTCTGTGGCATCGCATCAGCATGGGTACATGACTAGAGAAAGATCTTCAACACTTTAAACGCTAATTGCAGACAAAGTTCATGTCTTTTTCAGATTCCACAGTGTCAGTAAAGAAGAGGGCTGAGAACATTTCTTCAGTGGAGGAAGCAGAAGATGACCTGAGTGGGACCCAGTTCGTGTGTGAGACTGTAATCCGATCCCTTACCTTGGATGCTGCCCCGGATCACAAACCACCTTGCAGACAGAAGTCCACGCACAGTGAGCGTCCCTGAATTCCCCACCCACCCACCCCCCAAAACTGAGGTGACGCCTGACTTGTGATTGCCAGACCTGAGCAGATAGAAGTGCTCTTCTTTACTGAGAGTAGTGGAGATAGCGGGATCTTTGTTAGAATTCGGATCATGGTTGTTTCTTTGGGCTCTACATATGCTACCTGACCATTTTATTTATAGCATCAGGAGCAAAGCAGCTACCATAACTCATTTCTGTACTTCTTCAGGGGCAGAATTTCAGTTGCACACCACAGAGGAGCAGCAGCCGGTTGTGCTGCCTGGATTCTGCAGCAAGGAGTCTTCTTGTAAGTTGACAGAGCCCCTCAGCAGAGACCCCCACTGGCAGCTGAGTTGTCTCCTTTCTCCAAGGGCAGCAGTCAGGAAATAGTGGGCAGAAACAGGAGCACCAGACTAAGTTTCTCACGGTTAAATTCTGCTGTAATAAATTTCTTTGTGGCAGAAATTTTTAGATGTCAGATAGGTAGAACCACTGTCATGTATTTCAAGTACTATCCAAAAACTCAAATTCTACTCCATCAAAATAATGTGAAAAAATGTCTTGTGTTTATTATAGTGAAATTTGACCTATACCTTTAAGCATGATTTATCTCACTTTTTCATTTATGTATCTATATTTAAACTGTATATTTTTTAAAATATATGTATTTCCTCACACATACTTGTGTACAAATGCATAACAAAAAAGTCTGGAAGGACTTACGCCAAAATGTTCACAGTAGTTATCTCTATTAAGGTTATAGGTACTTTTTTATTTCCTTTTTTTTTTGTCATCCATGTTTGCCAATTTTCTATCATGACTACTCATTACTTCACAAAGAAGAGAAGGAAAGTAGTCATACAGTCCTGAAGTATTTACCACCAAACATTTTCTCTTCTTATAGCACTGTTAGCTAGTATATCAGTTTTGATCTGAACCCGTCTCAGTATGTTAACCATCACGTGAAGAGGAAAAGGGATGAGGCCTCCTTGTTTTAAGATTCATAGTGTTCTCAGAAGCCTCGATGTTTCTGCCAATGTTGTTTTTGTGAACTTTGGTTCTATGTGGCTTTGCGTAGGTTTAGAATATGGCCATGACCATGGTTTCAGCAGCCCTTCCCTCTGGTTTGTCCCTGTCCTCTGGGTTTCATAATTATAGCTCATGACCTACAAGGCTTGGTGGGGTAAGGGTAGCACAGGGGCTGCTTTTAGCTTATACCTTAAAATTGGTTGCTTTCATCCTTTAGTGAAATTTGCCCCACCCGAAGAGGGACCACTCGGAGACGAGAGGGAAGAGGTTGTCCGTATTGTTGAAGAAGAAGCTGTCATGGAGGAGGAGGAGGAGGATGAGCTCAGAGATGAAGTTCAGAGTCAGTCCTCTGCTTCTTCGGAGGATTACATCATCATCCTGCCTGAGTGCTTTGACACCAGCCGCCCCCTGGGGGACTCCATGTACAGCTCTGCCCTCTCACAGCCAGGCCTGGAGCGAGGGGCTGAAGGCGAGCCTGGGGTTGAGGCTGGGCAGGAACCAGTCGAGGCTGGGGAGAGACCCCCTGGAGGGGAGAACCAGCCACAGGGGCACAGCATCAATGATATCCTTATGACCTCACAGACTCTGGACACAGTGCCCCTGACCCCAGAGGTGGTAGGGCCTTCGCCACGGCTGCCCAGGTACCATCCACACCCCGCTCTGCTGGGCTGTTCTCCAGAGGTGGAATAAAGAGAGAGGACTCAACCTGATCTCAAAACCTGTTTCTTTGTCAGCAAGGGAAGAGTCTATTTCCCATAGTAAAGTCTGATGAATAAAAGTTGTACTTCCCAGTATTTGTGTATTCTGGATTTAAAGAAATACTTGTTTCAGTTAACCTTAATTATCTGAGTATAATCTGTCTACTTATGTTTTGATTATTGAGAGCCAGTTTTTAAACACAAACATCCCTGGACCTTCCTCCCTGTTCTGTTGACTCATGGGCAAAGGCAGCAAAAACTCTTTCTCATACTAATCCAAACAAAGTAGAATAAGAAGTTTAATCTGTTATGGAAACAAATATACTACAAAACCCAGATAGAAGTTACTGTTTTTCTCTACTGGTTCTGTCTGTATCACTGCTCTCTCACAGTATGGAAAATGGTGGAGGCTTGACTATAATTTAAAGCATTCCCCCAGGGAGCTAGATGTTTTCTTTCATCAGCACCACTTGATACAGGGGGAAGTGACCAGACTGAAGCCAGTCTTTCTAGCTTGACTGTGGCTGAAGAGGAAAACCAGAAGAAGAATGAGCCCTTCTCACCTGATCCCTAAATTCAGACATGTGATCTGGATCAGAAATGTGAAGCCTCTGTAGAGAATTTGGCACTGCTGTGCTCTGTTTACTGTTTCTCCACCGTTACTGTAGGCGCCTTTTCAACTTACTTTCAATATTGTGTCTTTCTGAAAGGAGTCCTCCGTATGCACAGCATCATGGTTCCCCAGGAGTGGATTTACCAGTTACCGTACCAGAAGTTTTTTCAGTCCCTGATCAGAGCAGAGGAGGTAATGACCAGCCTGAGCTTTCTCTTTTTCTGTGCTCCTTTCTAATGGAACCAGGTATAAATAGGCACTCTATCTTTGTGACTCTTGGCAGTTTTTAGAAACTTGCCCTATGACTTTTTCTGTGCTCCTGCCTCATACTCTTTTGTTCTATCTTCTAGCTTAATATTTATTAAACGAGATCCCATAGAGGTTGGCATTGTGCTGTAGTGGAAAGAACACAGGCTTTGGGGCCAGACTAGTCTAGGCTCCAGCCTCAGCTCCACCTTTCTTCACCGTGTGACCTTGCAATGGTTCAGCAGGGTTCTAAGACCTGAAGGTCTGTTTCCTTACCTACAAAATAAAGAGACTAGCACTTTGAAGTTGTGAGTAGACCCTCAAAGTCGCTTTCCTCTCGTCCTCAAAAAACAAAACCTGAAAGTACTTAAGAACTAATAAACTATTGTGATAGGATTATAGAATTAATTTTTCTGATTCACTAAACAGTCACCTTGCATTGCATTCTGGACAGTTTTCTTTAACATTTACTTAAACCACCTGCAAAATTTCTCAAATATTTAAAAAGAAAGAAAAAGAGACTTTAATCGTTGCAATCAGATTGCCACCTGCCTCAAAACTAGCCTTGCTGTGATTAGGAAACACCAGGGGGTTATGGGTGCTGTATCTAACCAACAGCTCTTTTGCTTTTAGAGCTCAGAGGCTCATCAGGACTTGTAAACAGCAGACAGAAGAGCTCTGACCACTCAAGGTAACGGGGGCTTCCTTGTGCAGCCCCTCCTTCAGAAGCAGAGGGATATCCTAGTATTGCCTCCGCTTAAACGAGCCTCTCAGAGCATGTGCCACCTGCCGAGAGAGGAGGAGAGCCATCATTCCTTCCTGTTCTTATTTCCTCCTAAAGCTTGTGAGCAGCACTGAGCAGGCGGCTCATGTTGATATTTAAGAAGAATGTTCACATTCCAGACCAGGAGGAAGTTCCCTCAGATTCACCTCCTGCTTAGTACCAGAGAAGAAGGCAGGAAGGCCCAGCCCGCTGTGCATCCTTGTAACTTTTTCGTAGACACACCTGCCTCTCTGCTCCCAGTCATCTCAGAGCAGTGTCACGGTGGGCTCCTCCCTACGTAGAGCGTTCAGAAAATCACATTTCCTTTGGGAGGTGTTTCCTCTGGGATGATAACTGAGCATGCAGACTGCCAGGTCCTCAGTGTGCCGCTGAGCACATGAATTTCCAGCCGGGGCTGAAAGCTGGCGTGCTAACCAGAGTGAGGTGCTTTCTGCAGTGCCCTGCCCATATCTTGC